AGTCTAAAGATTTGTGATCCAGAGGAACCTGAGGTTTTTGGATTTTCAAAACCCAGCCCCAGACACTACGGCTTTATGGTCCTTTTATACTAGTTTAAGGAGCCCTGGTGGTGCAGTGGTTAAACACTTGGCGGCTAACAAAGAGGTTGTTGGTTCGAACTCACCAGCCTCTGCAGGAGAAAGATATGGCAGTCTGCTTCTATAAGGATTACAGCCTTGGAAACAGTATGAGGCAGCTCTTCTCTGTCCTACAGGGCTACTATGAGTCGGAATGGACTCGACAGCAGCGGGTTTGATTTGGTTTTTGGTCTGTACTAGTTTAACTGAGCTGCACCCCCAGCCCTGAGCTGGTGCGAGGGTGGTTTGAGTTTTACATTTATGGACTGTGCTTTCAAAGTTTGCTCCACAGAGACTGAAGTGATTTTCAAACCCTGTAATAGAAGAACCCTCACATGAAAAGTAGCCAAGTGCAGGATGATCTAGTTAGGGAGGAAAAGCATTACTGTCAGGTTACCACGTAGGCCTCTCAGCCAACCCCAAAGCACTTCTAAAGACCTCTAGGCCTCTTCTGAAGAGTTTGAAAGCCTTGAAAATGCAAAAATTCAAATACATGTGTATGGGAAAGCCCTTACATGCCATCTCTTATTTCATCCATGTCCTCGCAGAGTCCTGGGGGATGTTTTTTCTCTAGGCCTGCCCTTAAACATGTGGCCCAGCCCCCTACCCATGGAGAGTCAACAGGCTGTACCATAGGTGTGGACTTGGCTTCCTTACTGTGGTTTTCTGCAGCAGCCTGGGGAGGGAGGGAGCATGCACTGAGTACCTGTTACTGCCAGCTAGATGTTCAACAGGCACGGCAGCCGCATCCTCAGATGAGAAAAGAGACCTGCTCTGTCCAGTAGGGTAGCCACTAGCAACATGTGGCTACTTAAAATTCATGAAAATTAAATTCAGTTTCTCAGTTGCACTAGCTACATTTCAAGTGCTCAGTAGCTACATGTGGCTAGTGGCTACCCTATTGGACAGCACAGATATAGAACATGCCCATCACTGCAGAAAGCTGTATTAGACAGTGCTGGAATGGGGGTTAAGTGACTTGTCCAAGGTCTCACAGCGCATAAAGGGTAGAATCAAGGAGGGGAAAGGGTGGGAAGGACTAACTACTGAGGTAGTTTTATTTCCAGCTTTGCTTCTGAGCAAGTTCCAGATATTCTTTGTTCATTTGTTCAACAAATATTGAGTACTTACTATGTGTGCTGGACATTTTTCTAGGGATAGATATATCACTGGACAAAACAATCCACCCTTGCCCTCATGGAGTTTACACCAGTGGGAAAAGACTGATCAAAAATAAACACAATTTAAAAATAGAGAATTATATTGTGTGTCAGGAGGTGGTGAGCATAATGCAAAGGAATTTTAAAATAATAAAACAGAATAATGGAGATCAGAGGTGCCAGAGGAAGCATCAGGTGGGTTGAAATTTTAAAAGGGGTGGTCCTTATTAAAAAGGAGACAGACATTTCATTCAGCAAAGGCTTGAAGATGGTGATGGAGTTAGTTATGTGGATATATGGGCAAAGGGAAGAGCCAGTGCAAAGATCTTAAGGCAAAAGTGTGCCTGGTGTATTGAAGAGAGAGCAAAGAGGTCAGAGAGAGTGGGGTGAGCTGAGGGCACTAGTAAAAGATGAAGTCACAGTTGTGGGGAAAGGGACAGATCATGTAGGCTCTCATAAGGACTTTGGTTTGACTTGTAGTGAAACGGGAAATCACGGAGGGGAGAGGGGTGACCTGCCTTGTGTTTTATTGGAATGGCGCTGGCTGCTTTATTGAGAATAGGCTGTCTGGGGCAGGGGCAGAAGCAGTTCAGAGGCTATTGTAGCAATCCAGGAAAAAGATGATGGTCATTTGGACCAGCAAAGTAGCAGTAGAGGTGATGAGAAATGTGGTGAGATTCTGGATATATTGATTTGAGAAAGGATTTGATGATGGATTTTGACCTGAGAAACTGCAGGGATGGAGTTTCCTTGAGATCCAAGAATAGATTTGGTGTATCATCGGGGATGAGGTGGAGAAACTCAGAAGTTCTTTTTTTTTTAATTGTCTGATACACATAATGGGCATCTAGGTGGAAATGTCAAGTGGGCAATTGCATATATGAATCAAGTTCAGGAGTGATTTCTGGGCTGGAGATATACATGATAGTAGATGAGATCACTGGAGCAATGTGTCAATAAAAGAACTGAGCCCTGGGACACTTCAGTCTTAAGAGCTTGGGGCTTAAAAGAGGAACCAGCAAAAGGAACCAAGAAGGGGCAGTCGGTGATATAAGGAGTCTAGTGTTGTGGAAGCTAAGTGAAGGAGTTTTCTCTATCCCTCTGTCCCCTCTTCCTGCACCGTCATCTTCCATCCCAAAGCCAGAAATAGTAGCTGATGGAAGGAAAGAAAAGGAGGCATGGGCAGGGCTGTGCAAACAGGATGTGCCTCACCTGTGTGTATGCTGTGACTGCTGATTTTATCACCCAAAGGTGCACACTTACCTGGTACTTTTCATTTAAGCACCTGGCAGCAAAAGGTACTTAACAAGGTGAATGAGTTCATGCACTCTATCTTCTGGGATTTTCAGACTTTAGGAGTCAGCTATTAGTGGGAGAGAGTGGTAATACCTGGTGGATAGACATTTTGGGGTCTCTGCCAAATTTCAGAGTCCCTGGGTGGTACAAAAGATTAACAGGCTCAACTGGTACCTGACAGAGGCTTGAGTCTTCCCAGAGGTGCCTCAGAAGAAAGACCTGGTGATCTACTTCCAAAAAATCAGCCATTGAAAAACCTGTGGAGCAAAGTTCTACTCTGACACACATGGGGTTGTCATGAGTTGGAGTCAACTCAATGGTAAATGGTTTTGTTTTGTTTTTGCCAAGGCTTTGCTTCTCATCCTCTCCCTATTCACTCACGGTATGCACTGCCTAAATGAAGATTGACTCTTGGGGGAAAAGAAGGGTCAAGTTCTTGGCTTTGCATTCTGAAGTGTACTCTTTAGAATAGCCTTTAAGCCAAGGCTTTGACCTCCAAGAGCTGGTTTTCTTGGAAATCAAAAGGCTTAGTCCTGGTACCATTAAATGGGTTTCCAAAGATGTAATGTCTGAGACTTGCTTTAAGATAACAGCGGAGGCTGGGGGTGGGGGAGAAGTGAGGGAGAGACAGATGAAACAAGATTGGTCTACGCCAATAACTGTTTAAGCTGAGTGATGGGTACACTGGGGTTCGTTCTGTTCTCTCTACTTTCGTGAATGTTTGAAAATTTTCATAATAAAACCTAAAGAACAAATTGCATAGCAACGTGCCTAGACTCTCTTATCCCTGCAATCCGAACAAAGCCTGAGGAAGCAAGGGAATGTCAGAAGAAAAGAGTTTAGCTGCTGGAGAGTCCATAACAGGCCTTTATGTCCCAGACAGTTTGGGGGATGTGAATGCAGAGGAGGCTTGTACTTGCTTCCAGGTCAAGCCCATGTAGGTGTCAAACCTCCTAGAGAAGTGACCCCACACCAGCAGAGGGCAGCAGCAGAAGAGTAAAAGGAGCCCTGAGATTGGACTAGGAAGACAGGACCAGAGCTCCCGGAGTTTCCTGTGGTGTCGGTAGGCTCCTGAAAGGTTCCACACCCCTTGGGGGGACACAGAACAGGCGAGGATAAAGCAGCACACCTGATGTGTCTGATCATCAGGATATGGAGGATGCCAGACTTGGAAGTGGATCTGGAGATGTGGATGTCAGCAGAAAATGCTGGGATCTGCACTGATGAAAACACACGTGACAAGAAATGGAACTGCCACCTAGTGCAGAAGATGGACTCTAACAGAGTCCTCCCCCTCTGCGCCAGAATGCCACATGAGCCCTTACTCCACTCATCCCAGGCACAGACGCCACCTCCAGGAGAACTGACAACTCACTGATGGGTTGGTGTCCCGGCTGAATTGGCAAGATAAAGTTCTCTACCATGAGGCTCAATGGCAGCTCAAGATAAAGTTCAAGTGATAGAAAAATAATCTGTAAGGTTTGTTCACTTGCAGTTGTGGAATTTATACCCATGACAGCAGATGAGAACTGAAGTGAAGGGAGGATGGAAAGATTATTCAGGAAAGGCTAAGGGGCGCCAGGAGATGGGGGTGAGAAGGTGTAGATTCCACTGTTTTGCCTGGTGTCATCCTGGGCAGCACCTCCAAACCAGGCACAAGCCTCTCAGTTATATATACTTAGACACACACCTCTCTAACATCTACAGTCACATCTCTCAAACCAAAGGAATTACCTGATGTTTGAAATTTGCACTCTTATGCAAAGTATCTACCAAGTTCAAGGATGAGAATGTTTTGTAGGATAATTTTATTTCACAACCAAGTGTTATGTAATATCCAACCAGACTTTACCAGAAGCATGAGTTTACACTTTAATAAACTCATCTTAAGTATGTGCAGTGCTGGCCACAAGAGCTGTTTCTCTTCCAAAGAAAGTGGTGCTTTTTACTGTGGTTTATGGTAACTGTTCAAGCAAGAACAGGGGATGGCTCTGGATTCCACACAGGCCAACCTGTTTTTCCCAAACTCTACTCCAAATGTACCTTCTTCAGCCAGTGAGGGCCATTTAGGATAAGCTCTGTGGTTTTCATGAAAAAACCACTATGCATTATTGCATTTGCCCCAAATCACCAGAAGACTTAAGAAACTATTTCAGTTAAATATCCCTTTAAAAGTGGGTGGAAGAAGAGTATCTACTATAATATGAAATTGTCTAAGTCCGCAGACTGCTATTCTTGCACAGTCAGATATGGTGACAGTGCACACTCATGTGGATTAATGAAAGCTTAGAAGGCAGAGGAAAGCAGTGTGGGCTTTGGATGGTCAGCTCTCCCTTCAGCCTGCTTCCCCCCAAAACTCTGAACATCATCTTCTTCTGCCTTTCCTGGTACGTCTTGGAGTATTTTCACATCTTGGATAGCCTGATGTCAGGTGACCATGTTGAAGTTGGGCCAGGCAAAGAGCTTCTTCTCCAGGGGGTTGTAATCAATCACACTGCTGTACTTGTAGTGGTTCTTGAATGGGATGGTCAGGGCCTTGCTGCTGCCCATGCCTGTGTCATAAGCAAAGTTGCCCATAGTGTCAGCTGATGAGTAGCTGCTGACAGTGTACAAGGTGCCACAGATGATGAAGGCATTGGCGACTGACTGCTTATGGATGTTAGTCTCCCAGCTTTGCTCAAGTTCCAGATTCTCTGGGTTCAGTTTGGAAAGGACAATGGCACCCTTGGCGGCCTTGGTGCTGTAGATGACCCAGAGACCTGTCTCATCCACAGCTAAGTCGATGTCTGTGTAGCCGCCCCAAGAATATGGGAACTGCCCGTGGTAGCCAGCTCCAGGGATGTCCTTCTCGGCCTTCACAGTCTCAGTGTTCAGCTCATACTTGATCACAGTCCTGGATCCAGACCTCTGGAAATAGAGGCTCCCCCCATACGCCATGGCGCCTGTGCTTTCCAGTGGCCTGGGCAACACGTGTACCTTGGAAGGGTAGCCCTGCACGAATTGGCTGATGTGGTCGTACTCAAAAACTTGGCGGATGTCTGTGCCGACTGTGTCGACTCTCCATGTTGTCTCCTGGGTGTAAGGGTAGGTGGGTTTGGGGTCTCTCATCCACACACCGTACTTCCCAGTGATCGCTTCAGCTGTTCTCAGAGTGACAGGCTCTCCTACCCAGACCAGCTCTCCACATCCTGGTGAATTGAAAATATATATATATATATATATATATTTATTCATAGTCTTTCCAAACACAGAGGATGATAGCTTAGATGCATGGCAGAGCAAGCGAGGGCCCCAGAGATAGACCCTCTGGATTTAAATACAGTCTTTGCCAACAATGGTTGTGTGAATTTCAGAAAGTTACTTAGCTCTCTAAGCCTCAGTTTTCTCATTTGTGAAAGGGAGCTGATAATAGCATTTTGGCTAATAGGCTGTTGTAAGTATTAAATGTGATTATAGATGTTAAATATATGTAGGACAGAGTAGAAGTGCCCCATATAGTTTCTAGGGAGTGGCTGGTAGATTTGAATTGCTGACCTTTTGGTTAGCAGCCAAACACTTAACCCGCCAGGGACCCGTATATAGATACAGATACGGACATAAGATAGCGGGGCAGTAGTGATTCACTGGTAGAACTCTTGCCTTCCATTCGGGAGACCTGAGTTCAGTATCTGACCAATGCACCTCAAGTGCAGCCACCACCCATCTGTCAGTGGAGGCTTGCATGTTGCTATGATGCTGGACAGGTTTCAGAGGAGTTTCCAGACTAAGGCAGACTAGGAAGAAAGACTTAGAGATCTACCTCTAAAAATCAGCCAATGAAAATCCTATGGATCACAATGGTCCCATCTGCAACTGATCATGGAGATGGCACAGGACCTGGCAAATTTCTCTCTGCTGTGCACGGGGTCGTCATGAGTTGGAACCAACTCCATGGCGGCTAACAACGACAACAAATGTTTGGTGCAGAGTAAATGCCCAGTAAACGTTCATTCAGTGTGTGGTTTGAATTGAATTTTGTCTATACAGTATCAGTTGTAAAGATGAGGGTTGTACAGAGGGCTTCAACTATATTTGTAACATTCTACTTCAGCTGGGCAGTGGACTCATCAGTGCTCATTATATTATTCTTTTATGACTTCTATGCCTGACTTATCATTTTAAAAATAAGAAAGAATAAACTCTTTATAAAAATAATTTCTATAAAAGTTTTTGAAGCCCTAGCCAATTTAATAAAATGAAACCTGAATATAATTTTAAAAATTATTTAATGAAGAGATGTTGGAGTTTAGATTTGGCTGAATCACAACAAATCTCTGTGCTTTCATGGGTACCTTCAATTTCCTCACAGAAGGCAGAGACTTGCTGCTTTCAACTCTGAGAATCATACTGTGAAGACTTTATAACCCTTGCTCTTGTGTGTGTCCTTCAGAGCCAGGGATCATTGTTAAGAACACCAATAGCCAGGTTTCTGAAAACCACAATCTTAGTTGGAAGGTCTCAGGGAACACTTTGGAGAAGGACAGATTATACTTTTATAAGTGCTCAAAGTTCAGAAAAGACACCCTTTGTACAGACTGTGTGAAGAGTTGATGCATGGTGTACACCTGGCTCTAAGAGACAGAGAGATGAAGGATCTACTGAACAATCATAATTGTTCAGGTGTAATTAGTTCTATGTGACAATTAAGTGGGTGAAATAAACACATCTCTCCTCTTCCCCCAGTGTCCCAGGGTGGTGCAAATGGTTAACATACTTGGCTGCTGACCGAAAGGTTGGAGGTTCAAGTCTACTCAGAGGTGCCTTGGAAGAAAGGCCTGGTGATCTACTTTCAAAAAAATCGCCACCGAAAACCCTATGGAGCACAGTTTTACTCTGACACACACAAGGTCACCATGAGTTGGAGGCGAATCAATGGCAACTGGTTTCGTCTCCCCCCCCAGTGCAGCCCAGGCCAGCCAAGCATCCAAGTATGGGTGATAAGATATAGAGCTTTGCTAGGGAAAGGCTGACTTGTTGCCAGCTTACCCCGGAAAGGAAGCAAGGAGAGAATACTGGCCCTCTCCCTCTCCCATGCCTCTGCTTCCAGGGAAGTTACTTACTTGCCCCTCTGGGTAGGCTGACTGACTCTAAACATGGAACTAGACATGGATAAAGACCACGTGGGCACAAAAGGGAAGAAATCTAACATCATACCCATGTCTTCCTCTTTGCTCCTTGGATGGCCAGATGGACTCTCCTTCAGGATTTGGGAAGCAGGGACCTCAGTTAATTCTGACTTCAGTTCCTGGAAGTCCAAATTCTCCAAATTCCATTTAGAAACTGTATTAAAAGAAAGAGACAAAATTGTACTGTGAGGAGAACTGCCTCAAGGACTGACTATGTTGGTAATGGCATTTAAATAGGTTTTCAGAGATGTGACGTCCAGGATTTGCTTTAAGATGCGGGGGAGGCAGATAAACAAGATTGGACTCTGTTGACAACCGCTGGAGCTCAGTGATGGGTACATTGGGGTTCTGTTCTGCACTCTTCTTTTATAAAGGTTTGAAAAATTCCATAATAAGAATCTAAAAAATAATAAATTGTATACCAATGTGCCTAGCAGGGTATTCAAAATAAAATAAAATAAGCCTGTATACAATTAAATTAATTCCTTCTAGGAGGGCTGATTTCTGAGTGGGCGAGATGTGATTTTAGGGACATTGGGAAGATCCTTAGAGTCTTCTCAGATGCCTGAAATTCAATAATTAACAATTCCTTGCCTGTTGGGGTTTTTTTGTTTGTTTTTCCCCCTTTTCATAATGCAAATGTTCCTGTAAGAAGTAACATATTAAGCTTTACATACTCAGCTGAAGCATTCTGTTAGACCTTTTTCTGAGACCAGTTTTGGAGAAGGAAGCGAGAGTGTGTGCAGGATTCCTATAGCGGTTTAGACGTGGTTTGAGCTATGGAGAAGGGAAAGCAGGCAAACCGGGAGATGCAGGTATACAGGACTCATCAGACAGTAGGTTGGCCCAGCGTGTCACACGGAGCCTTGGTGGCACGGTGGTTAAGAGCTCAGCTGCTAACCAAAAGGTATGCAGTTTGAATCCACAGCCACTCCTAGGACACAGTATGGGGCAGTTCTACTCTGTCCTATAGGGTCACTATGAGTCAGAATCCACTCGACGGCAGTGGGTTTTTTTGGTTTAGCGGGTCACACATCTCTACTTTTATGTAAGACTGTGGTCATGCAGCAGCCCTTGAATACAAGGATGGAGCCATAGCCACAAGGAACAGGCTCAGCCTTTTCTCTGGCCCTCAGTGACCAGCAGCAGCAGCGGTGGCTCACGGCTCAGGATTCCCAGGTGTCCAGAACATTGGAGTGGGAAGTCCATGTACTGCCTGAGGCTGTTCTCCAGCACAGCCCAGAGGAGGTCAGGAAGACATTTTCTGTCTTTCGTCCTTTGTTTGCTCAATTCACCTAAATTAACACTCAGGCACAGAGGATTCTAGTGAGTAACTCTTCACCCTTCTAGATGGATCACATTTCATCAAACTTAAGCCACACATTCTTTCACATTTTCACATCTCTGGAATCAGGGCTCCCCTTTCAGTTGCTGGTGTTTAAACCAAACTAAACCTGTTGCCGTCAAGTGGATTCTGACTCATAGCGACCCTATAGGACAGAGTAGAACTGCTCCATAGGGTTTCCAAGGCTGTAATCTTTACTGAGGAGCAGCTGGTGGGTTCAAGCTGTCGACCTTTTGGTTAAGAGCCAAGCATTTAAGCACTGTGCCACCAGGGATCCTTTGCTGGCATTTAGCTTTGGTGAATTATAGTGTTAGAAAACTTTTCTCCCTGAAAGGAGCTGAAGAAAACATTCAGCCAAGAGGCTCTCCAACTTGGACTTTGTGCCTCTGCCCTGCTGCAGCTGTTAAAATAGTCTCCACAACTGTGAGAATGCCCTGGTGGGGCAGGGGGGTCAGACTGATAGACTGATGTCCCTTAGTCTAGTGTGGGCCATCAGCTCTTCCTCTCCCACTTCCAAAGAAGAGGCAGCACAGGTGCCTGGCGGGTGCTGAGCTCCTGGTCCCACCAAGCCCTCAGGACTCAGAGCAGGGAGCCTTCAGCTCACGTGCTCTCTTTTTCCCTCTCTTTTTGTAGGAATCATACCTCATGAGCTTTCTTTGGAGTAAACAAAAAGCACCTTAAAATGCAATGTCAGGGAATGGCTTCCAAAATGATGGAGAGCCAGTTCTCAGTTGGCAGGTGAGATGGTTGGATCGTGAGCCTGCCAGCTTCCTGGTCAAGTCAGCCAGAAACATCTCGCAAGAATCAGACTCTGAGTGGAGTTGTCTGGCATGAGGTAGAGGCCTGCAGGAGAGGTGCAAGGCCCAAAGGCAGGGAAGCAGTTGTGCGAAGAGCCTGAGCTGGGCCAAAAGTCACATCTTCCTCATTCAGCTCTGCCGTTTACCAGCTGTGTGGCTTTGGGCAGGTTATTAACCTCTCTGAGCCTCATTGTTCTTAGCTCCACAAACTTATAAAGTTGTTTTGAGGATTACATAAGAAACCACAAATGAAAAAGTCCTCAATAAAGATGTGCCAAAACTAAAATTTCTCTTGAATGTTTCAAAATCACTCATGTTTCATTCTGAATATGGGGAAAAACGAAAAGAGATTATGAAAATGTTAATATATTGTATCAGACAATTATAATTTTTAGGGCATTTATTTGTCTTTTCCTATTAAAACATAGTCCTATGCTTTAAAGTTTCATGTAGGTTACAAAATTCTGGAAATGTTTTGTATGCTCTACCCTATCTTTCTTACCTCTACTTTATAGACTCACATTCTAGAGAGCTCTACCTAGAAATTGAACTTATTACCTATTTACATACTTTTATACATGTTGGCCTAGCCATCTACTTCTGAAAATCAGTCAATGAAAGCCCTATGGATCCCGCTGTGCATGGGATCACCTTCAGTTGAGGGTCCACTTGATGCCACCTAAAACAATACATGTTGGCAAATGACATTGTAATGATTTTTGTAGTTATTTTCCATCGTTACCTGAAAAGTTACATCAGTATTATGTAAATGAAGAAAAGGAAAGGTGACAAGGTGTCTATAGGCCGTCACAAAGACTCTAGGAAGTGAAGATTAGCTAAGTGACTGTTGTCCTGGTGCTGCTCCAACAATTGCCATCTCTAGAAACAACGTGTGCTATAGAAACATTACGTACAAGCTGGCGTTTTGATCATTGAACGACATTTGAGGATCATAGTGGAACTCATGCAAAAGAAGCCTTTTGTAGTTAAAAACCATTTGCTGGGTGAACACTCTGTACCAGGCACTGCACTAGAAGCTTCCCATGTTGCTTAAAATCTGCATAAGAGCTGCCTTCGAAGGATTATTATCCCATCCTACTGAAGACCCTCTGGGGACGGTGATGGTTCAGATGGTTCCTACCGAGGAGAAACGGAATCTGCAGCTCTAGAGCTCTGCCTCACATCCTGTCCGTTTGCCTTTCCTCAGTCAGTGCTTGGTCACCCGCCTTGCATAGGGGTCACCAGCCAGCCCCTGGCCTCTGCTGCCCTGCCCTGGCTTCTCTGACTCACAGCGTGGGAAGTTTACCAGAACCAGCCTGGTACCCACATCTACCACGGAAGCACGATAAACCCCATGGGGGTAATTCTTGGCCGGCAGGGTATGAAGCCCATCGATAAACGGTTTCCTCTTCCATCTGCCTTCCACACAGATCCTCAAAGGTCTTGGTGGGACGGAGCCTCCACTGCCCACTGTGGTGACCAACTTGAGAATCCCCCTTACTGGTTGGCTTTCCTTCCTTCCCTGTCTTGTTCTGCTCTGACCCACTTCTCTCCCCTGGGATCACGTCCCATGTAAATCACCATCACGCACATACGAGGCCTTAGCTCAGACTATGCTCTGGGATTGGGGGGCAGGTCAAAGCAGAGGCTAAATAAAAGGAAAGTGGCAATTACTAATGACACGAATAACCAGCCCTAGTTTATCTTTTGGTAAAATGTATATTTCTATTTCAGGCTTATTTATAAGGTTTACAGTCAATGTTTCACTATATAACTATTACTACAAATTTATATATAT